AAATATTGTACTTTTCACTCCACTACATTTCTATCAAGGTCCTCGAAGTAGAAAGTCGAAAGTTGTTAGCAGCTTTGAAAGTCAGTGGGTGATTTTTTTTCCTTCTCTAAAAACTGTCATTTTTTCAGACAGTATATCAGTAATAACTATTGGGGCTACATGAAGTGATTTCCCAGCATTTTTTGAGCACTGACCAATTCCAAATGTGATATTTATTTACAACAATTCAATAATAAGAAGTTAATATTGTGGTTTATATTAGACACAATATTGTCTGATTTTGCTAAATTGTGTAAGTGAAAATATTACCTATAAAGCCACAGAAGAACTGTTGTGCGTCTCCTAATAAAACACAAAAGGTGTTTGACTGAAGCAGCACTGCACATACCATTCTCTGTGTGACATCCAAGTACAGCGAGAGCGATTAGACAGCATTTTAAAAAAAAGTTGTTTTGATGTCAAATAAGTCTTGCTCATTTGCTTTTTTGTTAAAGCAGTGTTGCTGTTGTAAAGTTATAAAGCTTTGTCCGCCTCTGTGTGCAATATTAATAGGGTGACCATACGGGCTATTTTTACTGTATGCGTCCTTGTCAGGATTTCTATATTGCCTAAAATATCCAGGTTTTGGCTGTTTGCACTGTGCAGCTCGATCATTGTATGACATTCACAAGAGCTGTAGAGAGCAGATTAGACGGCTCCTTATGCTTATGAATCGCTCTCGAGGTACTTTGGTGTCATTCAATGATCGGAGCGCAGCGATGCTTCAAGTCGAATGAACGAACAAACACGTGCGCTTATTTGCGTCGCTTTGATCGTTCTCTGTAGATCTCACCTTCTCACGCGCCACGATTGGTTGATTATATACAACACCTGCATGTTATTGGTCAAACTACTTTGGATGTTTTAGGCAATATAAAAATCCTGGCCAGGACGTGTCCCGTATGAACAGCACATATGGCCACCCTAAATATTAAGTAATACTATTATATTAACACAGATAGTATAATTTACTACATGTGTTCAGAGCTTCCTGAGGACTGTTTGGTGAGGATTTGTCTTGTTCCATTAAATGCTTAAATCAACACTGCAAAAAAGTATTTTCTTAATATTTTTTGAGCAAAAACTTACTTTAAAGGGTTAGTTCACCCAAAAATGAAAATTACCCCATAATTTACTCACCTTCAAGGCATCCTAGGTGTACATGACTTTCTTCTTTCAGACGAATCCAATCGGAGTTATATTTCAAAAATGCCCTGGCTCATCCAAGCTTTATAATGGCAGTGGGTGGGTGTTTTCGTTCAACAGTCCAAAAGAAGTCCAATAAAGCGCATCCATCCATATAAAAAGTGCCTTACACGGCTCTGGGGAGGGGGGGGGGGGTTTGGTGAATAAAGGCCTTCTGTAGTGAATCGGTGCGTTTTTGTAAGAAAAATATATGTATTTAACGTTTGTTTACAGGAGCACGTATGATATTTAGCGGAAGTTAGAGAAAAGGGTTTATAACATTTTAAATATGGATATATTTCTTTAAAAAACGTGTCGATTCGCTACAGGATGCCTTTATACACCCCCCGGAGCCATGTGAGGCACGTTTTATTATGTATGGATGTGCTTTATTGCATTTCTTTTGGACTGTTGAACAGAAACACCTGCCCACTGCCATTTTAAAGCTTGGAAGAGCAGGGACAATTTTTAATATAACTCCGACTGGATTTGACTGAAAGAAGAAAGTAACTTTAACTTTGATAATTTTTCAGAAAACAAGACTTAAGCTTAAGCCATTTTACTTCTCAAGTAAACATTTGTTGTTTTGTTTTGTTTTGCATTTTGTTTTGTTTTTGTTCTTTTTGGAGCCTTCACCAGACAAGTATTTGTATGGTGCAGAACAAAACAAACAAAAATCAATGACCCTTCATGAACCTGCCATGTACTTTTCCTCTCTCTCCTCTAATAGAAGAGTAAAACTTGGCTTTATTAGCTATACAACTCACTTAGGAGACTCTTCTTCGCAACTTTATGAATGATGTAAGCATTTTAGACTGACAGACTCAAACCAAGGGGGAAAGATCCTGAACTGAACGAACACTGTCCCAACTCAGCTGACCACTGGTTGGTCTCCATGGAGCCCCTGTGTTACATAATATAAGGAGATGAAGTTTCCCTCTCAGGTAATCACACTAATTGCTTTTGATGGCCACAGAAGAGGCCAAGAGTGCCTTTCATTTACTATACAGTTCTTACCATTTAGCTGTAAATGACTCTGTCTGTCTGTCTGTCTGTCTGTATGTATGTATCAAGGTTAGGTTATATAAGAGTGGTAGTTGTCATCACAGAAAACTCCTAAGCTGCAATTTTATCTTGAAACACTGTCAATCGACGAGTGTGAGGCAGGATTTGAGATCTTTCATCAGCACTGTAACAGAACCTGATTGAAAGCAGCCGTTGTTCTTTTAGGCCGGTTATTAAGTTTGCACACCTGAGGCACTCCAATCAGTGGTCAGCAGTAAGTGAGATATACGGCCAGTGTCAAGCTTTCTGCTACACATACCTTTTCTCGCTTTCTCTCTCTTATGGCGTCTATGAGGGGGAAGACAGGCATGAATACTGGGACAAAATGCTTTATTTTAAACCAGGTCCCCAAGGCATGGCATCTCTCCTGGTGCTGTACACATCTTTTTGCCTGTATGTGTCCACCCATTGATTTATCTCTTCACAGCTGGCCCTCAGAGAGAGAGCTCTGCTCCAGCAGCCACCATAATGGTGCCATCATCTACCTATCTATCTATCTACCAGTCGGTCTGTCAGTTTATCTCTTTAAAGTACCTATCTACCTCTGGGTAGCCCCACCCACGCTGAAACCTCATTGGTCCAAAATTAAAAACATCAAATATCTTATGTCTGGATGTGATTGGATCACATTGCACAGCAGCTTCTACATTTTCATTCAGTGTGTACGGGCAAATTGCTTATCACCAGATAGGGCAGTAAAGCTCAGGGATTCAGAATGGAGGAAAACCTGTGACCTTATATGAGGGTTTACTTGTGCGTCTACTCACGGGCTGATGGTTTATTGGTTTGTCAGTGTGTCTGTGTGTGAACATACTGACATTTAAGGAATGTTCTTGAATAGCCTGGATGCGTTCATATGTAATGTACACTAGCGTCTGCCTGTGAGTAGAGTAAGGACATAAAGAGATAGCTTTAGCACATTATTAGTTTTGTAAGGTAACGAATCTCATTTCAAAGGTGAGGCATTTTATATTCTAGTCTTTGTGTTTGTTTCCCATGCTTCCTGGGGCGAAACGTATTTGTTTGTTGATCTGCTCCGCGACAGTGCAGCATAATATATCAGCTGCACCAGAACGCACTCACAAAGATCAAGTACAAGTCCAAATACACCCTCTTGCAACAATGTAATTATTCAGTCTCCTCTACGTGACTTTGCTTTCCTAATTGGCACATACAGTAGATGATGGCACATTCATTGTATGGTAATGTATCTTGCTGACCTAGTTGTCGGTGTGTGAATACAATTAGGGTATGTGTGTATGTGTGTGTGTGTGTGTGTGTGTATGTGTATGTATAATTGTATTATATGTAACATAATTCATTAATTTAATGTTAAATAGAATTTTTATTATTTAATAAATTTTTCATCAATTTAATAATGATTTATTATATAATGATTTTTTTTTTAAATTTAAATTTCAGAGCAAAAAAATGCTCTAAATGCTTTTTAGGACGAAGTGTGATTAGGATTATTTGTCTTTTTTTTTTATTCTAAAACAATATGGTGTATATATATATATATATACCATATTGTTTTAGAATTTAAAAAAAAAGTAATTATACATTTGAGGACATCCTTCACATATAACTATAAATCTATGTCTTTTCCTCCTTCATGCTTACTGAGACAGTTAATATGACTAATGTCAATTGTTCGAAGTATAGCCCTCTGCACCCTTTATGTCATTTTACGCAAAAAATCAATTCAAACGGCTGAAAAGACTCAGCTGAGACACAATTGATATTGCAGTTAAAGAAACAAAGAGGAGTATATAGAGAAAGAGAAGAGTTCAAATATGCCTTATGAATACTTTATGAGGCCTGTTTCTGACCTCCACTAAGTAGTTCAGATGTGTTTCATTGTCTGACATCCCCTCGAAACATGAAGCCTGGAGAATGCGGACAATAAATGCTGCTGCACCAGCATTTCTGGCTTTGGGACTGGAAACAGTGTGACACTGCAGCTGAACAAGCTGTCTGCCTCCAATCCAGCCAATGCTTCTGTCAGAACTTTGTCCATCAGGAGAGAAAGACTGAAAGAGTAGAGGAATGAGACAGAAAAAGGGGTTTATCCTTTAAAGATCCAGCAACCTTTGACACAGACTCTCAACTTCTAATAAATCCACACTTATAATAACCTCCTTTAGGAACATTAACTAACTTCAGGAACATAAAACTAACTTAACGGATCATTAGTTTGTAATACACTGTAAGTTTAATATATTTCATCCACTGATCACCTGGAGGGTGTCTGAAAATCTTGGATGTATCGAAATTTTAAAGGTTTGTACATAATATACTGTAGTTTTATTTTTGTCTGAAACTTTCATCTGTGATGACTTAAGTTACACAGACATGCAGAAAAAAAGTGTTCTACTTCTGTGCTGATTCAGGTCTGACCTGAAGAAGTTATAATCTTACTGCAGTGTCCACAATACAGAACCAGCAGGTGCTGTTTACTTCAGATGTTTATCACTTGGCCTGCAGGTGCAATGCATTATGATGCTCAAAAAAAGAGACAATTTGATTGGCTACTGTGTGCCAACTCAATTCTGATTGGCTGGAAGTGGACAGCAGAAGAGGGACAAGTCCAGGCATGTTTAGTAGGAAAATTTCTTTCTCCTCCTTTCTCACTCAGTTCCTTCTCACATTCATTCACAGATCGCAACTTTGACAGAACGTCAGTGCGTAGTCGCTCTTTTCGCCGCCTGAATCGAGCCTTCAGTGTCCTGAGGAGGACCAAGAGTGGAACAGCAGTGGCCAATGAGGCCACAGAGGAGCGAGACAACCTCAGAAATGCCAACATACCACCGGAGGGTGAGTGTGGGTCTTGCAAGTGTTGTATTCGGACACCAGAAAAAGATTGACTGGGTAACCAGCTAGACCAAATTAAACCAGTTAAGACCAACAAACCAAGTTGTTTTATTAGAGGCCCCCCTGTTTTAGCATTAACATTAGCATGTATTGTAGTAAGCATGTTTATAATTGTTAACTATGTAGTGTAACTGTGCTGTTATAAAGCATTATTGCATAGCACCTCATCAAACATGAACTGTCCTATGAATATCATTCAATAGCATGCTAAACCAATATCAATGGATAATAAAAGGAGAAAGGGAGTGTGTCAGAAGGTGACATTCTGGTTTGGGTCCGCTCAGCCCCGCAGTAGCATATGGTCCTTTAATAATGCAGATGGAGCCTGAGGAGACTTGTCAGAGAGAGACAGAGAGGAAATGAAGCAGTGTGTTGGGACAGAGGGACTGGACAGATGAACGCTGATTGAGAGGGTTGCTTAGCAGTTCTGACTCACAGTCTGTAAGTACGTTTTTTATATATAAAGAATTTGCCACTGACGATTCAAACGCGAGTTTTGAGCAGTGTAGAGTGGCGCTTGTTGTTTGTCATTTCTCCGATCACAAATGCAGACATGGTTTTATGTTTACGCGGCGCGATGCAACGCGTAAAAAGACAGTATAGGTCATTATAATCAGTAATTATGTCCCCACTGTATGCAACAAATGCCTCGTTTATAATGGGTTTTAATGTTTTTGTCTCGTCGCTCCGGCCGGACAGGGCATCACAGTATGGTAAGGGGCGTAACATTTCCATCACACGCTTGAGGTATTCGGCCAATCACAACGCACTGGATAGCTGGCCAATCACAGCACACCTCGCTTTTCAGAACGATGAGCTTTGTAAAAATCAACGCGTTTCAGAAAGGCGGGGCATAGAGGAGAAACAATAATGTACAGTATGTGGAAAATAATGTGTTTTTTGAACTTTAAACCGCATAAACACATTTCATTACACCAAATACACAAAATAATGTTCTTTTTAGCAACATCATATGACCCCTTTAATCGATTTAATGCATTCTTGCTTGTTTTTTGTTTTTAATCTGACTGACCCCAGATTTTTGATTGATAGAATATCTGAGTTAAGCAAATTAGTGGTTAAAATGATTTAAACAAATGTTAACTCAATCACCGAAATTATTACATTCATCTTGAATACAATTTCGGGAAGTCTTGGCCCTCCTTGCTTCCTCTGATGGATCACTGTAATGCTTTTTTAAGGCTAGTCATGTTTGGCTCTGCTTTGATCTGGACAGATGCCCTGTTTGTGTAGCACAGAAAGTGATGATCATGTGGGAGTTCACTGATTACAGACGCTCTCTTTTTCTCTCTCTCAGTATTTGCATTACCTCAGCTGCATCATCTAATCCCTGATGGTGAAGTCACCAGTATTAAGATCACCAGGGTAGATCCTTGTGAACCACTAGCTATCAGCATTGTCGGGGGCAATGAGACGCCTCTGGTTCGCATCCTCATTCAGGACATCTACAGAGAGGGCGTCATCGCTCGGGATGGAAGACTGCTACCTGGAGATATGATCCTCAAGGTGCGTATGTGTGCTAGATCTGATGTTACGTCACTGTACAGTAGGAGTGAATCGTCCTGGTTTTGATAGCACATGTTGTCATGGGCTTCACCATCTGTTGTTCAGAGGGGAAGTGTGTGAGGATTCTGCATGTAAATTTGTGGAATGGACTTCTTTTCAAGTATAATTATTTTTGTTATAGCTTGTAACCGATAAATGGCCAATATATTAATATATTAATAATAAATTAAGAAATGAGCATTAGCACTTATCAGCAGTCAGATCAATCAAAATGATATGCATCCCCAATGAGAAAGCTGAGAGGTCTAATTAATCAAATATGAAAATATTGAAATGAACACATTTGCAGCAAATTTGTCTTTTCAAACCTCAGAATTGCAGAAAGACAGAAAGTGTATACAGTATATTGTTTTCTGAGCCAAAACCTAATAATGCATGCAAAAACACTGAGCTCGGGTGCTCATATTGGCAACATTAGTTTGAATCCGGCTTGCAACATTTTTGAATCACTTTCACCTTCCCTCACTGCTATAATTTCTTGTCCTCTCTCTACATTTATATTTACATTTATGCCTCTGGCAGACATTTTCATCCAAACTGACTTAATGCCTGATATACCAAGGACAACTAATGATAATAATATAGTTTTAAAAATCATTCTACATTTAAATGAATAGCAGAATTTACACCACAACTATAATTATAATGGCACAGAGGAACTATATTGTTGGAATCACTTTCAGAATGATTTTTTTCCAACTGATAAACGATAAAAACATTGACAGCCAATCCGAATCCATCCTTTAAAGAGCTCAAGCATTTAAAGTAGCAGACGACAGTTCCCTCCGAATTGAACCCATGACATTTTCATTGCTTGCACCATCCTCTACTGTGTGAGCTTCAAAAATGCAATACAAAAATCTTACAAACATAAAAACATTTCTCTGGATTTCTCTCTCTAATCTCATGCTGTCCTCCCATCAGGTGAATGGTATAGACATCAGTAACGTGCCTCACTGTTATGCTGTGGCGGCTCTGAAGCAGCCCTGCACACTGCTGCGGTTGACTGTTCTGCGAGAGCAGCGCCACCGTTACCATTCCCATCATCACTCTCCCACCGAGGCCTTCCCCACCCACACCCCCACCATCAGGGACGACAGCCTGCATGTGGTCCTCGTTAAGAGGGCTCCAGACGAACAGCTGGGCATCAAGCTGGTGCGCAGACCTGACGAACATGGCGTCTTTATCTTCCACCTGCTGGAGGGGGGTCTGGCCGCCCGCGATGGGAGGCTAAGGGTAGACGACCGCGTGCTGGCCATCAATGGCCATGACCTGAGATACGGCACTCCTGAGCATGCAGCACTGCTTATTCAGGTGAGCAGCATTATGGGAGAGGTTATGTGGTGAGTATTAAAGGGATAGTTTACCCAAAAATAAAAATTCTGTCATTAATTACTCACCCTCATGTCATTCCAAACCTGTAAGACCTTCGTTCATCTTCGGAACACAAATTAAGATATTTTTGATGAAATCCAAGAGCTTTCTGACCCTGCATAGACAACAATGCAACTGACACGTTCAAGGCCCAGAAAGGTACTAAGGACATTGTTAAAGTAGTCCATGTGACATCAGTGGTTCAACCTTAATAATTTGTGTAATAAATAATAAATTAGTTCATTTGTGTTCCAAAGATAAATGAAGGTCTTACGGGTTTGGAACGACATGAGGGTGAGTAATTAATGACATAATTTTAATTTTTGGGTGAACTATCCCTTTAAGGCCTGTGCATACCAACAGACGAAACGGTGATAATGGCACAAATCAAAAGCGTAAATATGCATCAGAACTATTTAAAACAAATGCAATTCAAAGTCAATCCCTAAAAGTGTGCATACCTGAATGGAAATAAAATGCAGTCTTTTCAAGCTAAATATAGCCCATCTGACAACATGGATTTTGTTTGCTTTGATGCAAAATACAGTCTGACTGACAATAACCATGTTCATGCAGTAAACCTTGAATTGTAATGAAATTGCATCACCAAAATGCAGTCAAAATTATTGATTTTTCTTTTATGCCAAAAATCAGGATATTAAGTAAAGATCATGTTCCATGAAGATATTTTGTAAATTTCCTACCGTAAATATATCAAAACTTAATTTTTTATTAGTAATATGCATTGCTAAGGACTTCATTTGGATAACTTCATTAGCGATTTTCTCAATATTTAGATTTTTTTTGCACCCTCAGATTCCAGATTTCAAATAGTTGTATCTCAACCAAATATTGTCCTATCATAACAAACCATACATCAATGGAAAGCTTATTTATTCAGCTTATTTTGAAAAATTGACACTTAAGGCTGGTTTTGTGGTCCAGAGTCACATATGAAGTTTTTCCAGCAATGCTACAACCAAACTGCCAAAGCTGATTTCATCAACAGCTTTTGTTCACACATGACCTCTACAATAAATGTTTTTAAATTCCCAGGACGCTTGTTCACAAAACAAAACAAAAAACAAAACAAAACCACCAATTAAAAAAAAAGTCTCAGACTCATCTTGCCCCAGATGTGGTTTGGAACTAGCAGACCTGAGTCATATGTTCTGGGGATGCCCCAGATTAAAAAGTTTTTGGATAGACATCTTTAGAACATTTTCATCTATATGTAATAAAGATATGGACCCTAATCCCTTGACTTCCATTCACCTATCAGCTAATCAGATAGAAATCATTGCCTTTTCCTCCCCCCCCCTTGGTTGTGATTGTTGTATAATAATGAAAATCAGTAAAAATATTTGAGTAATAATAAAATGTGACAAAAACAACAGCCGGGAAATGTATTTTTGATGCAGTGCTTCACTAATGGTTTGACATTTATAAAGCCTAATTTTATTAGAAGTAATGCTAACTAATTTAAGCACTTTTATTGCTAAGCCTTTTCAGCATTTCAAAAAATGAATGTTTACAAAGCCATCTAATCCTAACTTGTGGCGTTTTATTCAGTGAATCATTCATTAAATGGTAATAATTACACTTTAACCCAGGATTAGACTTAGTCCTGAGCCCCAAAAACCAACTGTTTTTGGTTCCAAATAAAACCTGCTGTTCCTTGAACAGTATTGCAAAAGATGAAGAGCTTACATAAGGTCTGTGGCAGTTTATTTGATTGTGGTTTCATCTCGGTGGTGAGAAGTGTGTCATAACGATATAAGAGTGTGTAAGAGAGTAGTGAGTGTGTGATTCGATATGTATTTCAGTGTGGTGGGTCTTTCCGAATGTTGTTATTCAGCTTGTTGCTTCCTGTCTGGTTCAGATTGGTCTCTCAAGATGGCCGCTCACAGCAGGAGTTTCTGACATAGATTAACTGCTGGCAGGAAACTGATCAAATTAGTCCAATTAGGCCGATAACAAGCTAAGCCCACTCATTTAAGAGGCAGCTTCAGAGCACTGAACTCCCAAGAACTCCATAGGCTCTCAATGCGAGTGTGCACTTGAGAGCAACACAAGCTACGGGGTTGTCAAAATAAAGGGTTAATGAAGAAGAAAGCGGCCGGCGATGCACTCAGATGGAACGACAGGAATGGATAAAAAATAAATCAGAGAGGGAAAAACTAGAGCCTGTGCCCTCCTTCAGCTCACACATACACACAGACTGCAGAATGGATCCCAAATCTCCATATATATTAGTTTTTCTTTAATAAGTACACACCTCTAGATATAATCACACATTCACACTGAGCTGGAGCTGTAGGACATTGGCAGTCAGCACAACATCTGGTAATTGTGCTTGCTAGACGTCCGGAGAGTAATGAGACATTACACACACACTCTCTAGGGTATGAACGAACTATTTTAAATTTTAAATTCAGTTTTTGAACTGCTCGCTCCTCAGGGAAGTTGTTGTCCTCTGTTTGCTCTCCTGTGGAGTTCGAAAGGTTTTTGCAGTAGACAGATAATGTTAAGCCAACTTTCACCCACCATAACGCCAAAGGCCCCAAGAAATCAAAATTGGAGTGTGTTGGCTTTTAGCCCATTCCTACAATGTAAAGGCAGCTATATATTTTTATAATAAGATACATTTATACAGTAAAAATAAAAAATAATATTGCATTTTTTCTGTGCACATTCATAGTAATTTTTAATGCATAAACTTGAAAAGAAACATAAAATCATGGCTGTGAATAGAATCAAATAATCATGATTAATCTCATAATTTCTGAGCAGTCTTTAAAAAGATTTCATTCCCATTCAGATTTGAGTTTTAACTTATTTTTTATTATTTATATAAATATTGATGATTCATCTTCCTGTGCTATACAGATTTTTGTCCAATCAAATGCTCTCTAGAATAAAATGTCCCTGTCAAGCTAGTTATCTTGACACTTCTAGTTAGCAAAGTTTTCATCATCATTCATAAAACCTCATGCATTAACCTCTCTTAAGGCCTGTTCACACCAAGAACAATAACAGTAAAGATAACTATGATAACTACACTAGTCGACATTTGAGGTGGATCAAAACCTTTCATCAAAGTTGTCCTAAAACCAAAATGTGTTCTTGTCTTAGGACAACTTTGATGAAATTTTATGATCCACTTTAAATGTTGACTACTGTATATTAACATTCACACCTATGGAAGATAATGTTCTGTTTATTATAAGCATGTTGCAGTTTTGTCATCTGCCACTTTAAATGCACAAGCTCTTTAAAGCAGGATGGATTCTGATTGGCTGTCATTGTTTTTGATCAATCATCAGCTGGAAAATCGTCCTAAAATTGATTACAACAATATCGTTCTACTATGCCATTATCGTTATAGTTGTGGTGTGGATTTCCCTATTCTCATAGACTTGGAACAATTATTAAAACGTTATAGTTGTCGTTACAGGTCTTTGGTGTGAACAGGCTTTTAAACCCTAATAATCACATAAAGTAGAGCACTAATGCTATCTGCTATATGTTCTGCAGGCGAGTGAGGACCGCGTCCACTTCATTGTGTCCCGCCAGACTCACATCCCTACTCCGGACATCCTACAGGAGGCGCCGTGGAACATGGAGGGACCACCGCCCTACTCGCCTGTGGATATTGAGCACTCTTTACTGGTGGGTTTCATGAGCATAAGCCGCACACACTCTTTATTTCCCGTCCCTCTGCACCGCTTTACTAAACATTCTCTTATTGAGGAAAAAGATCTGAAAGCCTATTACTTCTACATCAAAGAATCAAGCAATCAGCCAGCACACACACACACACACACTCCTTTGAGACGGCCGTCTCCAAACCTATTAACAGAAGAAAACCCAGCAGGAGGAAACAGCCATGGCAGGCTGGATTTCAGTGCGTCTTCTAAATGGGATTTTCTGCTGCTCAATATCTGCACTGACAACTTCCCCTGTTCTAATAAAAGTCAAATTCATCGTTAGTCATTTCTCTCTTTTCTTTGCCTTGCATAAAAAAACCCCCATCTCAGACCAATTTGTGAAGGTTTGCTGGATTAAGTGTCAATGACACTTAATCCAGCAAACCTATTTATGCCTTGTAATGCACCTTATAATGCATCGTACAATCTCATGAATAATTGTAACCAAAGTGAATACATTATAACATATAAATTCATTGTTACACTATGCATTTTAAATTTGGTTATAATTATTTACAAGATATAAGGTATTATAATGTACATTATGAATAAATATAATGCATTATACCTTTTAATAATATTAATAATGCATTATACATAACAGCTTTAAGTAAAGTGTTACCTTTTTTTGGGTCACACCACTTGACATTTTATAACCTGATCTAACCTTGCCTTGACATGAAAAGTCCTAATAATCTGATATTTTAAGAGACTTATTGACCTTGACACACAGTAATGCGGATCGGCAGGGGTTCTCTCTATGATGTAATTTCCTGTTGTTTTTCAAAAGGCCTAGAACCCATATAAAACCAGACCAGAACAAACCAAACCCTAACCTTACCTCTCTTCCCCCCTCTCTCTCTCTCTCTTTCTTTCAATCACTTTTTATCCTTTCAGTGACTCTTGTTAATTCTCTTTTACACACTTGGAGAGGTGGAAACATTCTGGCAGCATATTGTCAGAGGCTTTTCACTCCTCTGAATTAGACACGGCCTAACACACACACACACACACACACACACACACACACGCCGTCACGCTAACTCCAGATCTGATTTTTCTGTAGCCAGAGGCTCAGACCAAATATAAACAGCCCTTTTATTGAACTTTAATAACGCTTTTTATTAAGTTAGGACTTAGCGACTGTGTTTGTTGTTTTTGGAGTGGATCCAAGGCCAAATTTGGCTGCAGTCAGCAATAACAGCGTCCTGCAAGCTCACCATTCATTACTAACACACAAGCACACACACACACACGCTTCGGGCAGTCATGTGTTCAGATATTATTCTTTTTTTGTGGCATCAGGAAAGTGTGAATCCAGATCATAGGTTAACAAACGTCATAAAACTGAGTAATTTGCTCTGAAACTTTAGTGAATTCATCTTTCTCGTTTCCTGTCCCTCTATTTCAGGATTCATGCCAAAAGCCTGCATGTTACGAGAAGACGGTGACTCTGTTGAAGGAGCCGCACGATTCTCTCGGCATGACGGTTGCGGGTGGGATGAGCAGCAGGGGGTGGGATCTGCCCGTCTACGTCACCAACGTCGACCCCAATGGAGTGGTTGGACAAGAGGGCTCGATCCGCAAAGGTACAGACTCACAAAGTGTGTTTAACCTATTCAGACACATCTGACAAAGCCACACACACCTGTTTCCAAGGTGCCTCTCTGATCTTTCCTACTTTTGAATGCAAGTACACACACAAACAAAGACACACCTGCTACTGCATATGTATGACCGTAATCAGCTCTGCAAATATATGCATATAAAACACTAGAAAATGACACACTCCCACTCGTACACCTGCCATACTGCTAAATCTGTCTCTGTCATACACACAATTATCAGCTTCCGATTGAGCGTATAGAAGTTTTTCGGGTTTATTTTTGTCATATGTGACATGTATGTAGGCGTGTGAAGTTGTGATCATGCACAGGTCGGTGTATGAAGGCAGTGGTTTAAAGTGTCTAGCAAATACAGACCCACACATGCAAGATCAAAGCTTTGAGTCTTTATATGCTGTACAAAGGTGTGGTAAGCCCAGTGTTTGAATTGAACCAGAAATTTCGTGAGGATCTGATATTTGGAAGAAAGTAGTTTTAGAAAGTGCTTCCTGGTAAATTAGGCACTAAGCTGGTAATAAACTACAGCTAGTTACTCTTTCCATTTTGTGGATTACTAAGCGCAACTATGTACAATAGAAACAGTTATCATAGAATAGTAAATTATTCGTAATGAAGCTGAATTACAGCACTTTAGTCATTTCAATATGCATTTTCCTATCACGTTAACTATGAACATTAGGTTTTAATTTATTAAATATAAACTGAATGTATTTGTATTGAAAATAATCTCACACACACACACAAATATGGGGTTGGTAAGATTTTTAACGTTTTTAAAATCTGGTTGCATTTATTTGGTGCAGTAAAAACAGTACTATTGTGAAATATTATTACAATTTAAAATACATTTTCTATTTTAATATATTTTAAAATGTAATTTACTCCTAAAATGGCAACTTTTAGCAGTCATTACTCCAGTCTTCAGTGTCACATGATCCTTCAGAAATCATTCTCATTATGCTGATTTGATACTCAAGAAACAGTTCTCATTATTATGAATGCTGAAAACTGTTGTTCTGCTTATTTTTTTGTGGAAACTGTGATACATGAGGATTCTTTCATGAATAGAAAGTTCAAAAGAATATCATTTATTTGAAATTTTAATTTGAAAATATTTTGCAATGTCTTTACTGTCGCTTTTGATCAATTTAATGCATCTCTTGCTGGAGAAAAGTATTAACATTCAAAAAAAAATAAAAAATAAATAAACAAACAAACAAACAACGCACATTACTGACCCTAAACTTTTAAATGGTAATGTATAAAAATAATATAGGCTAATAAGATATGAAATGTCTAGATGTATGATTCTACAGATGTCCGACAAGCTTTTTTTTATTTATTTGAAATGCAAAATAACAAAATAATGACCTCCTGCCATATTAACACATTTAAAGGGCACTACAAATGGTGGTTAGGGGGACTATGATTAAAAATAGGAGATCTTGACCTCCTCTAGACCCCCCGCAATTCTAACACTGGGTAAGCCTTTTGTGTTTTCAATTAAACTCATATGGATGAGAGAGAGAGAAAGAGAGAGATGGTGTGTCTCTGTGTGTAGTGTGTCCAGTATATTTCAGTATGTGCCTCTCTCTCCCAGTTCTGAGTCTTTCACAAAAATCTCTCTCATCTCACCCTCAGAGGTGAGCGTCTGACTCTGTCCTTCTTTCTTGTTTTCGGTCTTCAATCTCTGCACTCTGTTGACATTGTCATATTTACATGAAGAGTTAATATTCAATTTATAAAACAATATGAAATAAAAAATGACCCAATTTACATTCCAAACCCATTCTTGTATGCTCATTATTCTATTAAAAATTGAGGGAAAATAAATAGAAATTATATCTACTCATCAAAGTAGTATGTCCTATCAATGCAACTCTGTCATGCAACAACAGATCTGTTACGGTCCTGTGATCCCCATAGTAATGTGACTATCCCGTCTTCTAGGTGACATCCTTCTAAATGTAAATGGGCTTGACCTGACGGGTGTGACTCGGAGCGAGGCCGTGGCTAACCTGAAGAACACCTCGTCCCCGGTGGTCCTGCGGGTACTAGAAATGAGACCCCCAAATGAGAGCTCCTCTCTGGACTGCATGCCGCCCCTGCATTCCCCCTGTGCTCTCTCGCCCTCTTCACCCGGAGATATCAAACTACCCCCGCCTAATGATGATTACTCCCCCCTCTGGGTGTCCTGGCTCCAGCTGCCCAGGTACATTGAGCAGAACACACACAAAAAATAGACATACATTATTTGAATTAATGTTGTCTCTTTATACATACATATACATATATATGCTGCTGTTTTTCTATTGTGTAGGTTTGAGCTTTCCCACTTTCCACCCATTTTCTTCCCTTCTCACACCAAATCTGTGGGAATTCACTGTGATGGAGTGTGAAAGTTCTTAACTTCCCCAATTATTTCATATGCATAATAATTGAGAAAGTTGTGTGTAAGGGAGAAAGAGAGTGCGACAGGGGAGAACAGAGCAGGGTTGAGGAAAGAACAGGTTTAGATGCCTGAGAGTGTGACGGCTTTAAATAGACCTTTCTCTTCCATTCCCTGAACTTTTCCTGCTTAGTTCTGTTTCTCTCTTTCCTTCACACATTTGTCTGCTCTCCATTTCTACATCATCTCATTTCACAGAAGTCCACTTTAAATCTGAGCTCTGAGCTTTCATGCTGTTAGCTGTCAGACATGGTTGATATCGATATTTTAAATATCTATAACAGTAGCATTTTTTTCAGAGCCTGTAAGCCTTTAAACACAAATCGGGCCTTTCAGTGCTGCTGGCCATTAGAAACTCACTTATTTCCCCAAAATATCCATAAGCTCCCTTTGAACCTTTTATTTATTGTGAATTTCTCTCTTGCCTCTAGCTCCTGAAATGCACCCCATTTAACTGGATAGTTGATCAAAAATGATAATTCTGTAAGGCTCAATTTGTTAGCATTAGTTAGTGCATTAGTCATCAGGTAATAATTAACAACAATTGATTAATCTAGGTAAATTATAATTTACATATAGCACTGTGGATAACCCGACTGTATCTCATTCACCTTTATTTTTTACAATAATAATAATTTATACAATATAATTGATACCAAATGTATACTGTATATGGAATGTAATAAAATGTATTCATATACTGTATATACAGAAATTAACTAATTAATCAAAATGTCTTTTTAATAATAATAATAATTACAACAACAACAGGCCAGTTTAAATCGTATTTATACTGTAGTAACTATCACAGAAATTAACTATCACAATCCCTTTTCTTTTTTTATAATAGTAATTAAAAAATGTATAATTTAGCTTACTAATTTATACAACTGTTTAAAATGTAAAATCTATACAACATTTATACAAATGTTTAAAAATATATTAATTCTGTCGGCACCAATAGCCTTGTGGGCAACGTGCCGACATATCGTGCCATTATGCTACCGGCGGCCCGAGTTGGAATCCCGGTTCAAGGACTTTTCCCGATCCTGCCCCACTCCCTCTCTCCCACTTTGCTTCCTCTCTCCTCTACACTGGCCTATCATAATAAAGTCAAAAATGCCAAAAA